GTGATGGAAGAAACGAAGAGAGATAGAGATAGATAGATAGACAGAAAGAAAGAGAGAGAGAGAAAGAGAGAGAGTGGTGAGAAAAAGAGAAAGAGAGAGACAAGGAAAGGACAACGACGATGACGAGACAAGGAGGTACATCACCGGAGGGCACGTCGTCAAATGAAGCGAGCAAACGAGAGGAAGCTTCGTGTACGAGAACGATTGTCGATGGAAGTCTCAGTTTTCTGTTCTCATCCGGCACGTCAATGGAGTCACCGGGTCGTATGATCGATTATCGGACCCTTTCTCGTCGTCGTCGTCGTCGTCGTCGACTTCTCCTCCCCTTTCTCCTTATCCGGATTTGTCGAAAGAACAGAGATTTCTATCTTACACAAGTTTTATTTTCTTACTCAGATATATATATATATATATATATATATATATATATATATATATATATATATGTCGACAATTGGACTCCAATGAAAGCTTTCAACCGTACAATAAATATGAAATGTGATATAATATATGCGCTTACAATTTCTTTGCTTTCTTGCGTTTTCTTTTTTTTTTTTTTTTTCTTTTAAATAAGTACCTAATATAAAATTTCAAATCTTTCTACTAACACCTTCGTAACTCTTAAAACGTGAAAGTTTTTCTTAAGGAACTCAACGATTTATGCGACCACACGTAACACATATCTATATAAGCGAGTATACATACGCATCAACGAACCCTTTGATAAAGCATAATAACATCGTGATTCTCAACATTTTATCAACTGAACGAACGGGAGGAGAATTTAATGTACCATGGTTCCTGATAATAATAATTAACTATCGATTAATGTAATTAATCACGCAGTATAACTCAATTTCTCAATTTCGACAAAATATTTTCCCACTACTCTACCACTCTCTTTCTCTCTCTCTCTCTCTCTCTCTCTCTCTCTCTCTCTCTCTCTCTCTTTCTCTCTCTATCTCTATCTATCTATCTATCTATCTTTTTGTTTAGTTTCATTCGATAAAATTAATTGCAATAGAACTCAATTTCTCAATTTCGACACAATATTTCACCCTTCTCTCTCTCTCTCCCTCTCTCTCTCTCTCTCTCTCTCTCTCTCTCTCTCTCTCTCTCTTTTTATCCCACTTTATCCCTGTCTATCTATCTCTCTTTTTGTCTAGTTTCATCCGATAAAATTAATTGCAATAGTACGAAGCCTAGCCTTTCGCATGAAGTTACACACTCCATTAGCTGGTCACCAGCGATGACGTTTGAAAAGTAAGCTTAATGAAGTTCTGCTACGTCGAAAGAAAAACATACGAAAAGAGAAACGGTAATCCAATTATGGATAATTATCCAAGAGGGGTGGACGGAAAGAGTAGGCGAGGAGGAGGGGCGGGTGTAGACGTCGTGCTGGCACCGGACAACTTATCGACTGATTAAAAATACTTTGCCGTGGTCGGAAGTTTGCTCGCGTGTGGGCCCTCAACGTCTAACTCTACCCCGCCGTTCGATCCACTACTTCGTGAGAACACCCTTCTAACAACCCTTTTCCCCAGACAGCCCAACAACCACCCACCAAACCCCTCAGAGCAACCTCCCCTACCCTCTTTGCCCTTTTGCAGACTTGCTTTTTTTCTTCTCCAGACTCTCCTCGACGCGAACAACAAACGCGAAATAGCCCCTCCTCGCGACTGGACTCCGGGAGTCTTTGGCACGTGAAGCACATAAAGTGTAATTAATCATAATGCTAAACCATAACTGCATATTACCGCGTATTATTCGTACGCCGGAACAACGCCCATTTCTTTTTTTTTCGTTTTTTTCTTTTCTTTTTTTTTTCTTTTCTTTTTTTTATTATCTTCCTAACGTTTCAAAAACTTTATTCTCGTCTACTACGTCGTTAGTTAAGTGAGAATACCTTTGTTATCTCTTTTTCTTTCTTTCTTTCTCTCTCTCTCTCTCTCTCTCTTTCTCTCTCTCACTCTATCTATTTATTTATCTATCTATCTCCATCTTTTCCTATCTTTCTCTCATATTTAAAATGAATAGATAAAGGCCAGCGGTGATTAATTATGTTGACAGAAACATAAGATAAGAAATTAACTCGCGTTATCGAATACCCTCGTTATCTGTTATACTTTCTCGAATTATAATTACTCATCGATAAAGGACAAGGGAACGGATCCCGTTATCACGAACAAATCCTATCATTAATCAGATTTAATTATATGATATCGAATGATCTACGGTTAATAAATAAGAATAACTATTTTTTCCATAATGGATAATACAGAAAATGATTGAATTCCGTTTTCTTCTTTCATCGATGGATATATCCGATATATGGTAAATCATCCAGGATTTACGTCAGTGGAGGAGAACTTACCTTCACCCGTTAGTACAGACGAGGCGTTCCCTACACGGACGACAGGCTGGTCGGTAAAGCAGAGGGGATGAAACTGTCGGTACGTGGATTCAACGTGGGTAATGAAGAGCTCAGGGAGCCTTATTTCTTACAATTAGCTGTTTCGAATGAACTTTTTCAGGGACTACCCTCTTCGGGGGCGCTAGAGAATTTAAGCATAAAAAGAAAAAGAAAAAGAAAATAAAAAAAAAAAAAATGAAAAGAAAACGAAAAGAAATGAAGAAAAATTAATTAACCATCCCTCCAGCTCGATTTAATCGATCGTTTCATTCATAAACTGGATATCGGTTGAATGAATGAATGAATAAATGAATGAATGAATGAATGAGAATAATGACATCGAATTTATTTTATTTCTTTTTCTTTTCCTTCCTCTTCTTTTATTTTTTCTTTTTTTTTTTTTTTTTGTTCTTTTGTTTCTTTCCTTTCCCTTCCTTTCCGTTTCTTCAATGATAACGTAGAGTCGACATTGTTCCTGAATTGATATGAGTAATGAAAAGAAAAAAAAAAAAGAAAGAAAGGGCGGGGAATTAAAATAAAAAGATACTTTTTAAAATGTCATTTAAATCGTAACCGCTCGAGAATCAAACGTGCGCTTACCACTATTTAAATATTATTTACATTTTATTTGTTTTACGAATTAAATTCGTACGATCTTAAATATGGTGCTAATGTAAGTAAGTCGATCGATCAAATAAATGTATAAAACATAAGTGAAACACATGTTGTGGTGCTTTTCATAGTAAAATCTGTGCTTACAGTGCAAAAAAAAAAAAAAAAAAAGAAATTAATGTGCATTGAACGACGAAGGATAACAATACTACGTACAATATACATCAACGTGCATAATAATCAATGATCGTTCGAAGGACGTATTTATTTATTCGCTACGATATCGAAATAAAATACGTGCATTGGGTGCACGATTATTCGTTATTATCGTAGTTTAAAAAAAAAAAAAAAAAAGAAGAAAAAAAGAAAAAGAAAAAACGTGAATAATATTATAAAATGTGCGATTAAAATTAAACGAGTCGTGCAAATTGAGATAACGACATATTCAAGAGAATCAGTTCCATTTTTTCTTTCTTTCTTTTTTTCTAAATGGACACATTTCGAAAAAAGAAGAATAAAGAATATCCACTGATAGAAATGATTTGTAATGGTTTTGAAATAAAAAAAAAAAAAAAAAAAAAAAAAAAAACGAAATAAATAAAATAGGCATTGCGTATATATCTTTATCGTCTCAATAAAAATCTTTGGCGAATCATTTGAAACGATCACTCTTATCTACACGCATAAAATACACGATGAGTACAATAATTTGCGATGAAAATTCGCACTTGTTGAATAATTATTTCCTTTTTTTTTTTCTTATTTTTTTTTTTTTTTCTTTTTTTTTCTTTTCCTCCTATTTGTCATTAACGAAAACAACAAAGCATGTCGTGGAAACGAAAAAGAGAATGAAACAACAATGAAACAAAAGCTGTTGGATCGAAATGCATGCGGGCATACTCGAAAAGAACGAAAGATTGTTATGTTGCACAGTCATTCATACATACATGTGTATGTATATATATATATATATATATATATATATATATACACAAATACAGACACACATATATATACAACAAAGAAGAAAAAAAGCTGCATAGCAACACGCGTGACACGTTCAGAATCCCGTAAACTTTATTGTTAGATAATTGATACCCTCTTTTATTGATATTATTCGTGAATGTATATGTATACGTACGTGTACGTGTGTGTATATGTTTACGTGCGAGAGAGAGAATACGTGAATGAATTACGAGTATATATACCGTATGCATCCTTCTCGTCGATTTATCTCGTTGATTTAAAAAGTTTTATGGTAAACAATCGACATACAAAATAATTATCTTCAAAGATAAATGACGAAATAAGCTTTCATTAATTAACCTCTGCGATGTTTTTTTTTTTTCTTTTTTTTTTTTTTATTTTTTAACAATTAAAAATTTTCTTTACGGACGAATGAACGAAAACGCGCAAAATCGAATTAAAATTAAATTATCAGATATCCATTGTGAAATATTTATCGATTATTTTCCAATGAACCGATTATTATGTTTCCAAAGTAACTAACTGTACGTCATATTTGAGCACGCAGAAAATTAAATTGAAATACTTACGAAAGAAAAAGAATTTGTTTGTTCGTCGAAGCGAATATAAGCAATGGCGATCGATATGAAAAAGGGGTGCCTTGAATTTCGAACTAATGAAAATAAAAATAAAATAAAAAAAGAAATAAAAAAAAAAAAAAAAGAAAAAAGGAAGAAAAAAGGAAAGAAAAATGCAACGCGAACGTTCGTCGATTTTATCGTACAAAGGGGAAAAAAATAAATATAAAAATGGAAAAAAATAAGAAGAAATAAAAAAGTAAAAAGACACGATAGGAATAAATTAAATGAAAAGCTGAACGAAGAAGAACGAACGACTACGTATACGTACATACATACATACATACATACATACGTGCAATGGTCGTTATTTTTTGACAATTTTTCATCCCCCCAAACCAAAGGGATGATCGTGTATAATAGTTACGCACCTGTATCTCTTTCTCAGATTCGATCGTTGTTAGGTCCGTCCTGAAATCAAATGTAAAATAAATTAATTTAATTCACATACACATACACACACACACACATACACACACACATACACATACATATATATATATATCTCAGATAAAATTAATTCATTAATTAAATGAAATATTGAAATTTCGTCGGTGTGTCAACGATACGAACATTTTCGAAGGACTACGAGAAGACAACTGTGTACATTGATCCTACGTCGTAGATAAAATGTTTCTCGTAAGAGACGAAAGAAGAAGGAAAAAAAACATAACAAAACAGAATATCCTCGTCTCAATATATTTACAATATATAATAATAATAATAATATCGATGATCAAGAAAACGTAGAGAGAAAAAGAGAGAGAGAGAGAGAGAACAAACGAATAAAGTACGGGTAATAATTTGTGATCGACCTTCACGAAGGTGAAGGCGGGCACGTAAACCCCGTCTTTTTCTCGATTTGGTATCCTTCCTTTCTTTCTTCCTTCCTTCCTTCCTTCCTTCAGTCCGTGATTCGTATTCTCCTCGCGTCTTTTATTATATCTCGCGAGCATGTGCCGGAAGGTAATTGAAACGTTCAGAAATGGAGAGAAAGAGAGAGAGAGAGAGAGAGAACGGGAACGAAATAACAGTAACTGCAAGGCGATTTTATAAGACGATAAAGCGTATCGCGTGTAATATAACGTTTTTAGAAGTAAAAGACCGAGTAAGAAGGAAGGAAACTTACATATATTATGTAGGTTAAGTTAATTACTTTATCAATTTAAATTAAGTAAAGATATAGGTATAAACAAACTCAGAAATATATATATATATATATATATATATATATACATGTATTTATATTATTTATTTATATTTTATATAGATATTTATATTAAGGTGTAGATATTTAATATGAAATAAAATAGAGAAAGAGAGAGAAAGAGAGAGATTGTTTTTAAACAATATACATATACATATACATATACATATAAAAATATATATATATATATATATTCACACAAAGATCAAAAGAAAATATAACATAGAATGTTAGTTTCGTGTTCATTTCTATGCACTGTGAATAAAAGATAGGACAGAAACGAGAAAGAATTTTCCATTGACGATTGTATATGTTATATATATATATATATATATATATATATATATATATATATATATATATATATATATACATATATATACATATATATATATGTATGTATGCATGTAGATACATCTATATTTACGCACATACATATATAAGAGCTGTCGCGGAAACGAGCGTCGAAACGAGGCAGCTTCGCATTTCCTCGTTCTCTCTTTCCTCCCGCGAAAAAAGAGAAAAAAAGGAACGAAAGCAAACGAACGAACGAACGAAAGAGAGAAAGAGAGAGAGAGAGAGAGAGAGAGATTTTCCATTGGGCGATCGAATAGTCGACGAGTGTGCGAACGATCGCCCGAATGCCTTTTCTTCGTACCGTAAAAATGCAAAGAAGGAAAAGAAGGGGATGAAACGAAAGGAAAAAAGAAGAGGAGAGGGATGGGTGTGAGGAGGGTTGGTAAGGATAGTAATAGCGATACCGATGGTGGTAGTGACGGTGATGGTGATAGTGATGATAATACTTATGATGGTGTTAGTGTCGATGGTTGTATTGGTGTATCCAATCCAAGAGAATTTTCTTCTATTGAGAGATTTTTCAAGACGACACGACGCCAAGTACTACATAGGAACGGGTACGTTCGAACGATCGAATAATCTTTTTCGTTCTCGTTTACAAACCAAAAAAAATGAAATAAAAAAGATATACATATATATATATATATATATATATATATATATATAAAGAAAAAAGAAAAGAAAAGGGAAAAGAAAAGAACCACGACGTTCTTCTCGAGCTTTCCTCCTTTTCGTAAAAAATTCACGATAATATAAGGATGTGAATTCTTTATATATATATATATATATATATATATATATATACTAATAGGGAATTACGATACATTTCGCACGTTGCACGTTGCACATTGCACTCCATATATCGATCGACAATGAAAAACTGTGTGAAAAAAAAAAAAAAAAGAAACAAGGAAAAGAAAAAAGTAGGAAAAAAATAACATGGTTCGGCGAACAAAAGTAAAAGAGTGATATCGATCTGCGAAAGACAATCGAACGATTACAATATATTAACATTTTTCTAACGATCAACCTTTCCACGAGAATAGAGATAATCTTGTATTAATTATAAAAATTATCCATAGTAGGAAAATTTAAAAGAAAAAAAGGAAAAAACATTTCTATATATATATACACACACACACACAAATATATATATATATATATATATATATATATATATATACATATATAATCACCGGAAGGACTGAAGGAATGGACCAGCACTGGGTAACCATATCCGTAATAGCACGTAAGTATTATATACATAGTTATATACGTACATACGTACGTACGTACGTAGATACATACATAAATAGATATTAAATCGATCGAACGCATTCGATCGGTCGAACGATCTCTGACGCGTAGGCGGCGTATTGACGATGGGTGGCTATTAGGATATAGAGAAAGAAAGAGAGAAGGGGAAGGATGAAAGGAGAGGATATAGGAAGGTAAGGAGGGAGAGGAACGAAGGGGGTAGGTTAGAGGTAGAATAGGAGGAGGGAGGACGCGTGCCGCACTGTGTTCCTGGCGTGGCAGCGATTCCTTCTCCTCCAGCTGTTGTGCACGCGAGAGAACGGGCCTCCTGTTCGACGATGCGAGGGAGACAAGGAACACGACGTTAACGACAACAACAACGACAACACAACGATGACGACAGAACAACAACGACAACAACAACAACAACACAACAACGTTTCTACGAGAAGACAAGAGAACAGTGAGGAGACACGCGCACGCACACGACACGCGCAATTTACTAACGCAGGCAAACGCATGGGGTACGCGCGTGTTACTCTTCTCTCTCTCTCTCTCTCTCTCTCTCTCTCTCTCTCTCTCTCTCTCTCTCTCTCTCTCTCTCTCTCTCTCTCTCTCTCTGTCTCTCTAACTTAGAGACGCACACGCATTTACTACATGCTTACGTATACGTGTATATATGTGTTGCCATAACGACGTTTGGTTTATTCACCGACCTCGCGTCAACGACCGAACGTAACGTACGCGAGGGACTACGAATCGCGTAAACAATCGACAATCTTACTCTATTTACCGCGATATATATATATATATATATATATATAACAGCAAGAACCAGCCACGCTTCTTCTATTTGCGCCTCTTCTCTCTCACTCTCTCTCTCACTCTTGCTCTCTCTTTTTCTCCCTCTCTCTCACTCTCTCTCGTTCTCTCTCTCTCTCTCACTCTCAGTCGTTTCTGATCAACGAACGTATATCAAACACGCGTATACACGCATTTATATATACACAGAGAGAGAAAGAGACACGTGTTATATGACTCAAATATATATATATATATATATACATCTGTGTATGTGTGAATATATGTGTGTATATGTATCTATCTATATCCCAAAGAACCCAACCACTTGTGCGAGTAAAGAAAGATAACACTTATTTAATCGTTCATGTTGTCTGTTAAGAACAATTTACATAATTAGAACGCCGAGGATTTTTATCATTTTAAAAGATTTTCAAAAGAAAAAAGAAAAAGAAAGAGGAACAATTTTGGATAAGTCAATCACCAGACGATGATAAGAGAGAAAGAGAGAGAGAGAGAGAGAGAGAGAGAGAGAAAGAGACAGGTTAGGAGGACATAGCTAAAAAGACGCTTTTCGTTCGAATGCGTTCTCTCTCATTCGTTCTTTCATTCGTACGTTCGTTCATTAATTTTCTTCGTTGGATAGCAAAAAAAAAATATATCGAACGATAAATAACAAAGTTGATGTATCGAGTAAATAATGTTTATAAATATTTGATAGAATTTTCCTAAACAATGTATACATACAGAGATATATTCGTAGGTTCGACGAAATCGTGCATGGAAAGTGCGTGCGTGCACGAGAACGAACGAGAGAGAGAGAGAGAGAGAGAGACGAAGAGAAAAAAAAGAAGAAAAGACGGAGAGCGAGAGAGAGAGAGAGAGAGAGAGAGACAGACACTCACTTGCACTTTCTTCGTATTATTTTGTGGACGTCTGGCCGCGTGGTCAAGGAAATCCCATCGTCACTGTCACATCGTCCGCGCACTTGTCACTCGTCGTTTTTACTTACTACGCGATGCCGTTTAAAAAAGTCGTGCAAAAGGTATAAAAAAGAGGATTGTTAGGAAAGTGACAAGAATGTCGCCATGGCGGTGCCAGGCTCCAGCCGGCCATGTTGTGGACCTGCGTACGTCGCGTCATCACGCGGCGGTTTCTCGATGCCAAGCGCTGATTGGTCGCTCGCTCGATGCCTATATCCTTCTCTCTCGTTCCTTCGTACTTATTGGTCTCTCTTCTCTCTCTTTCTCTCTCTCACTCTCCCTCTCTTTCTCCCTCTCTTTCTCTCTCTTCTTTCTCGTCATTCGTTACCTCGTACACATGCCACCTTTACACTCGTTCGATTCGCGCCAAAATCTTACAGCCACGAATATATGTATATATATATATATACATATCTATACATATATATATATGTACGTATAGATATGTATGTGTGTATATACGTACATACACATATATTTTCTCTATTCAAAAGGAAAAATCCTATGGAATATTTCGTCCATTATTTATCGCCAGGAATCAAAATTTACGAGGCTAATTTTATGAATTCTAACGGGTCGCAAGAACGTGGGTAATGCTTTATCGAGGGAGTATAAAGATAAAGAAAAAGAAATGTCGATAATTCAGGATGCTAGACGACCAACAGCATTTTCTTCGAAGAAACTTTCTCTGTTATACGAGCTAGTTGACTAGTTGGGATTACCGACAAAGAATTTCGAATATTCGCGAGTACGGGGGACACGTTAGATTGCGTTGAACATTTCTCTCGACGATGAAGAAAACTTTACGATGGTATTCGTCGCACGTACTTAAGAATTATTATTCCGTCATTTGTATTTGTTAAAAGAATGGAGAAAACGAGAAAGAAAAAAATCCATCGCTTGTTACGCAGTTCTCGCATGCCTCATAAATATACGCGTAAAAGAGAGGTTAGGACGAAGGGAAATAATTATAGTATCCCATATATCTGTTATATACGACGAATATTTATATTTTCATATTCGATTTATCTTTTTTCAATACATGTTTATTAGTCATTTGAAGAATATGAGAAACGTAAAAAGAAACGAAGGAAAAAATACGATGATCGATTGGAATAACGAAGACGTCTCGTTGAGTTATCTTAACGTGATTAATAATTTCTTGGCATTATAAATTAATATATTGATTCAATTAAATGTCATTTCTTTGCTTTTAGATAAAAAAAAAGAAAGAAAAAAAAAAGAGAATGATTGTACTTTCGTAATCGTGAGATTTTATCGGATCTCGTAGCTAGGTTAATTTACGTTTGTAAAGCTACTACAGATCGCATGTATACATATGTCGTTTCGCGTCGGTAAGTGCCTTCGGCAAACTGCATCAAATCTCAGTGTTAGAGCGTGATGAAGTATAGATTTGCTTTACCTTGTATACACAGTATAGCAGTTACCAACACGACGTACGAGCACATCGGACCGACCATGTTTATAGTTATTATCGCTGGACGACAGACGGCGCTCTCTACTCTCTCTCTTTCTCTCTCTCTCTCTATATATATATATATATTCATCTCTCTCTCTCTCTATATATATATATTCATCTCTCTCTCTTTCTCTCTCTCTCTCTCTCTCTCTCTCTCTCTCTATATATATATATATCCATCTCTCTCTCTCTCTTTCTCTCTCTCTCTCTATATATATATATATCCATCTCACTCTCTCTCTCTGCCTTAAAATCAATAAATATTCTCAAGGATACTATATAAGAGAGACTGAAGCCTTCAATACCATGTTTCTAATATCGTCGTACGATGAAATATCGCTTATCTAATATATTGTTACTTGTCTCACGTTTTAATAATATTATCAATGTCGTAACGATCGTTTAATATTTTCAAAATAAGTCGTAATTTAATTTACTACGTTATAATTCGATCGATTTAATTAAATAATTTTTTATTATTTATCGACTGACCGACGTATATAACAATCGTATGTTATCTATTATAATAGAAATTCGAAATTCTCAGATATATTATTTATTATTCTATCTATATTATAGAAAATTGGTATTAATAAACTTTGTTAGAATACTACGAGACAAAGTTCAATAATATTCTTATAGAAAATCTTGTCATGTGACCTTTAGTGAAGAATTATCGGACGTGGATATATTGACGAGTTATATGTCGCGCGAGTGACGCTTTAAAACTTTCGAACGTCCGATTCGATTATTTTACAAAAGGGGTAGAAAGAGGAGAGGTAGAATGGAGGAGGACGTAGACGGGTGGAGGTGGTGGAGAAGGAGGAGAGAGTACTGGGGTATGTATGGGATTAAGAGGGTTCGCGTTTTCAACATTCGAAAAGAAGTAAGTAAAAGTAGAAGAGAAAAGGTGTTACGAGAGTTGCGTGTTTTGTTGCGTGACACGTGTCAGGTGTCGCGTGCGACAAATAGTGAGTATCGTCGCAACCCCTACGTGTTCTCCTTCTCTCTCTCTCTCTCTCCCTCTTCCTCATTCTCTTGCCCACTCTCTCTTTCTCTTTCTCTCTCTTTCTCTCTCTCTCTATCTATCTGTCTATCTATCTATCTATCTATCTATCTATCTTGCTTGGACGAGAAAGAAGGGGTTAACGAAAGAGATAAAAGAGTGAGAAAGTGAAGTTTGGGGAACCTTCATGAGTACCAGAAAGGTATAGGGAGCATTGCGTTAAGAGTCGTTACGCAAGACGAGTTATCCATTTCTGTTGGCTCCGTAAGTCAGCTAACTTCCTTAACGAACTAACCGAACGAAGCACTCAACGTCTCTTACTTCCTCTCCGATTTCAAACTTCACTAGCGAAGCTCCTCTTCTACGGCTAATTGATATCAACGATTTCGGCGTCACTAGAGAAATCCTAAAATCTGCCGAAAAGGAGAAAAAAAGAAATAAAAAGGAAGAAAAAAGGGAAAAAAGAAAGAAAGAAAAAGTAATGACCTCCTTGAGAAAATACGTATATCCGAGGTTTCAAACGAACGAACGAACGAACGAACGTAAGTACACCAATCTATTTCGAAGGATATTCTTGAATTACAAAGAAAAAAAAAAAAGGAAAAGAAAAAGGAAAAAGTGCAACAGGTTAATTAATTCTACGTCGTCTTTAAAATAATCTTCGTTTATTCTATCAAAAATTTAATTTTACCGCTTCATCCCGAACGGTTTAATCGATATCTAAAGAATTAGTTAATTATAAAAAAAATATATATATATATATATATTTTTTTTTTTTATGTATATTTGTTTTTGTTGGTATTTTTTAGCATAGAAATACGATGAAATAATATCGTTAAAACATTTTCGATAATTGTAATACATAAATCGAAATAACGTCGACGTGTACGTTTCCTCGATACTTCGACTCTTATTTGTTGTTTGTGGGACCGAAGCGAGTTGGATTTGCGGTAGAATGGGGGATGCAAAGGGAGAAGGGTAGCGGATGATAGGTAGAGGAAAGGGCGGAGGAAGAAAGAAAAAGAGGAATTGGTGGTACAAAGGTGAAGGAAGGGTAGAAAGAGGTAGAAAGGGAAAAGGGGGTTTAAAGTAGAACGAGGGAGAAGAGTTTGAAACTCGCATAAATGTGTTCGCCTAGCCAGTCTCCTTCTCCGCGTTTCTGATTACTTTGCAAACTTTACTTTAACCGAACCGACATAACGTTACATTTCGCATACTTGCCTCGAGTAGGTAGGTACTTACGATACTCCATACAGCTATTCGGAAAAGTCTAACACGATAGTATAATTCGAGATAACTCGATGCGATCTTTCTTTTTAGATTATTCGCCGACGATCCATTAGAAATTCTTCGAATGATTCAGATATAAAAATTGATTATATTAAAAGACTGTCTCGACTTCTTATTTCTTATGGATATCTATATCTATATCTGTATCTATATCTATATATTATATATATATATATATATATATATATATATATATATGTATAGATAGATATATATATTTCTAATAGAATGTTCGAAAAGATTTCTCATCGAATATGAAATGAAAGTGATACTCTTTTAAAAATTCATTTTTAAATCTTTTAAATATCTATGCACACACATATATATATATATATATATATATATATATATATATATATATACACAACACACACGTATCGTAATTTTGTTAACAGAATATAATCGATTCTACGATTTTATATATACATCGATCGATAAAGATCAGTTTGCAAAATTAAATAGACAAATGATTAAGACGAGAAAAGCTTTTTCATCCTCATGAAAAGTATAAAGAATCAAAAAATAGAGAGAGAAAGAGAGAGAGAGAATGAAAAATGATAAAGAGAAAGAGAGAAAGGGAGAGAGAGAGAGAGAGAGAGAATTAAAGACAGAGATAGGGAGAGAAAGAGAGGTAGAAAGAGAGAAAAGTCGATTCGTTCCTTCGAACGTTCCGCATGCGCGCTCGTGGCCACAATTTCGCTCGCGTGTATTCGGAGAACGCAGCTCGTTGCAATTCCATCGTGCGGTGGTCTCCCTTTCTCTTTATACACACAAGCACGACGAACATAGTCAGACATAGACACGGTCGCACAAGAAGATAGACATTGAATACGGACACAGATACATTACGAGTGCACACACGATAACACTTTTATAAATGTTCCGAATGCGGCAAGGCAACAATACAGCGTTACGTCAGTTCTCTCATCCGTATGCGTTAGTTTCGCGCTGAACTAATAAAAATATCTCTCCGCGGTAGGATTCTCTTTCTCGAAAAAAAGTTCTTTTTTCTCTTCTTTTTCTTTCTTTCTTTTTTCTTTTTTTTTCTTTTTTCTTTTCTTTTTTTTTTTTTGCGCGTCCGAGCATTGCCAGTATCTTTATTCAAAAGATACGCTCTCGTGAAAGAGGAAAACAAGTGTAAAACGATCATACTTTTTAGAAACGGGGAACGTTTACTGCTACCCCGGTATAAATTTTTTCCACTCCTTTATTTTTTCTTGTTTTCTTCTTTTTTTTCTTTCTTTCTTTCTTTCTTTGACTCTCCCACACTCGTACTCCCAGCCCTTTCTCCCCTTCACTCCGCTCTCCTTTCCTTCCTCCTTTTCTCCTTCGGTTCTCTCGTATTCGTCGTCGGATTGCGTGCACG